GTTTTATTTTCTCTCTGCCTCACAGCATCTAGGCTTCCAGAGGTGAAGGCTGTGAGATGGAGCACAGCTAGCCAAACCGAGGCCTGCGGGTCCTGCTGGGACCCCTGTGTGAGGCTTGGTTGTGTTTAGCTTGTCAGGGGAAAACACAGTAATGAGAGGAATTACTAAACAATCACATTCACAGAAAGAGATGGGTGGGTTGGTGGGCATGGCTCTTTGGACAAACTGTCAGGAAAATAAGCTTTATATTAAACCAGAAAGTAACTCCAGATAAAATAAGCTATTTCACAAGTGCAAACAATGGATGCTGTTGAAGCGCTGCCCTTGCTAGCAGAGAAACTCTACTAGTGATTCTTTCATAAAGCAAGACATCAAGAAGGCTTTAATAAAAGCTATGCAAGTCATTTCATTTTTTAACCCTAAGCTCATTATAGCAACTCCAGTTTTACATGGAAAAGACAGTTCTCTGCTGCCATGAGAGGTCTTCACACTGCTCTGTGCCTCCGCTGACCAGCCTCGGCCCATTTCTCACTTAAATGAAAAGAAATCAAGTCAGATAGACCAACGCTTCTCCAGTGACCCAACACAGATGAGGAGGTCAGCCTAATTGGACAGACCTCTGATTGACGATGTGGAGTGAGGCAGCCAGCCCACGTTCTTCCACTGCCTCTGTGATCGGTTACAGAGGAAAGCAAAGAGGTCAACACCGCCCAAAGAAGGAGGTGAAGATGTCTTGTGAAAGCAGACAAATTCTTTGACAATGGAGTCAAGTCTAAGGAGGTTGATGGACATGAGAAGGGAAGGGAAAAGTGTGAGAGTATGCATACCTGTGTGCATAAGTGCAATGATATTACGAGTAGACCAAAAAACTGGGCCATGACCGTACTGGGCATCTGTGGCTCAGGAGGTAGAGCAGGTCACCTCCTAATCGGAGGATTGGCTTCTCCAGTCCACATATCGAAGTGTCCTTGGGCAAGACACTGAACCCTATGTTGCTCCTGGTGGCTGTGCCATCAGTGTATGAGTGTGTGAATGTTTGTGTGTGCGAATGGGTGAATGGAAGACAGTGTAAATCCCCCATGAGTGTGCTTCTTTGCATAGAAAAGCGCTGTGGCCATTACCGTTTACTTCGTCTGTACCCTAACCAAATTCATTAAAGCATAAACTAGGGCTGAATGATTGTTTTTCCAATTGAAATCGCGTTTTAACAGACCATACTTTTCAAACCACAAAAGCTGACTCACCAGTCAGGTTTTATAGCATAAGAATGTTCAAATTAGACTTCTGTCAATTACCTGTCTGAGGGAGGAAGTGCATTTGTGACACATTGTTTCTCTTGCTCTAATTAAGGGAAATAGATCAAAACAGTGACATTAACTAAATGAAACCTAACCTGAAGCTCCAGGAATTAAGATCAGGTCAACTCACATGCAGGGTGAGGATCAGAGCTCAGTTGAGTATTCAATAATGCACAATACTAATAATTCAGTTTGACAACAGAGAACAGGTAAGTTAGTAAGATTTCGCTCTTCTTTGTCATGTTTAATGGTATACTTCTGTGAACTCCAGGGGTTACATGGATATGTTGAGCAATTATGAAAAAAATAAAAATAAAAATGTCACAATAACCAGTTAACTACCAGCACGTCTCTGTTTCCCACAACTTGAGTCAGATGCTAAAAACGAGACGGCAAGTGAGCAGAGAAGTCAAAAATCCTTAAAACTAATGGATAAATGGTTGAAACATCCAAGAGACCAACGCTATACATTAACAATTTCAGGACTGTTATGTCTTAAGTGACAATGAAAATAATTGTAACTATATTCGGGTTTACACAATTAATTTGTTAAATAGTTCAGGTTAATGTCATGTAGTGTTGATGAAGGCATATTGACTGGGCCGTGAGGGCGTGTCTGAAAAGGCTGAGAGCCGCTGCTAAATTTAACTCAATACTAAATATACAATAATATGCCAGTAAGACTTCTTGTCATGAAAACTATTAATGAAGAGAAAAAAAAACAAAAATACTTTGTGCTGATTAAATTCTTAAGGAAGCTCTTATGTTGTCTCTGTAAATACAAAGCTAGAGGATTACGCAGAGCACAGCTGACCTACTGACCCTGTACGCTAGTCTGGGTAAACACACAGACACACACACTCACAGAGAACCCCACAATCACCCACTTACCCTTTGCCACTGGTGAAAGGCAACAAGATCTCTTAACAACAGCTCATCTTCTCCAATAAATTTTGCATGAAAACATGCTGCTTGAGCACCAAGTTGCCTGCTGTCATACTAGAGGAGTGTTAAATGTTTAATGACGACAACACCACACACATGCGCACACACAGTCAGTATCAGGGTGCCGCTTTGAGGGGCCCCTCTCTCATCCTGACAGACACTATAAAGCTCCTGAGCCTCTTCCTCACCCTGCCATCAACATCGCACCACTTCGCTCCTCTCCTACAAGCCAGCAAGGAAGCCTGGATGTAAATGAGGCAGGAGTGTTACAGAGAGTGTGTGTGTACGTGGTGAGGAAAACCTCTACCCCCATCACCATTAAGAGCAGAAGACAAGTGTAAGAGGCAGAGGATAAAGACGTGGCTTGTCATAGATAGGATATACAGTAGAAAGCGTTGTTTTACATATTCCTAGAACATCTCGCTGCCTCTGCCTTTGTTCTGCTAAAACAGGACTCGTTAGACACCTAAACATCTGTGGGAGCATCCAATGGGGAGTAACGGGCACAGCTGTGTCACACAGGTTTTGGACACTGGCAACATAATATGACATGTCCACACACAGACAAACTTAATTTGACTGAAGTCAAAATAAAGTGAGAAGATGATCTTGTTATCTAATTTCATCATGTCACTACAGTAATTTCAAATTAAACGCCACAAATCGCAACATAGTGTATTTACATGTAATGGTCACATTGCTTTGTCTGCCTGGAGAGTAACGTCTCAAGGGATTACCTAGTATTGTTCCAGTGAATTTCAAATTTGCTAAAATCAAAGAGACATTTCTGAACTATCCATCCCACCCATGCTGCATTTCTTTCTCTAACTGAAACACTGTGAATTATACCTGCAAGAACATTCAAACTGTCATGTACCTATAACTTGAAGTGATGAAAACCTTCACACTATAATTTTTTAATATCTGTTTTTCTAATCAAAAAGACCACATCACATGGAGCAAACTGTCAAGTAATCATCTTTAATATCCAGATTTCAGAAACCAAAGCAGGAATTTTGTACACATGTTTATGTCACCTGGTGTGGTGGCAGGTCAGTGCCACATAGTTTACTCAGAATTATTCCAACATCATAGCTCTACAGATTTAAGTAAATTGGAAGGCCAGGTCACAGGATAGACGGTTTGAAATATATTAACACTGCCACAGGTGAAAACGCACACACACACACACACACACACACACACACACACACACACGGATGCTCACACAAAGAAAAGATAAAGCAGGGTCAGATAAAGAGATTCCTATCAATGCTGAAGGATATTGAAGCCTTAATAAGAAAACAGATATAGTCTGCTGGCCTTACATTTCACTGTTAGCTTTATTTGTTTTCCTGATATAGATCTAAAAAAAGGCTATATGTAATTGCTTCAAATAAACAGAGTAATTTTCCAGATGTCCATGTTCTGCTCAAAGCAGAAACCTGAAGCTCCAAGGCATTCAGTGATGACCAATAACGTCTAAGTATAAATGAAAAAAATGTGCCAAATAGGAACTGAGACTTCATATTATCAACAAATTTGTTCCATTTGTTTCTACTAACCACACCTATGAATCAAGAAGACGTCTGGGCAATGGAAATCATTTTTGGTCAGATCAAATCATAAACTGGCATTTGGCTATTCCTGCAAATGTATTTCTGTCCTCTTAGACGGTCTGACGTGGTATTTTCTGGACTTTCCATTAGTTTCACCGTTTACCTGCTTACAGATGTATGTGTAGTCAAAGCTTAATTTTAAAATTATTTGCTGTCTCTTTTGTTTGAATACCTGAATTAACATTTGCATATGTTTAAAGAAAAAAAAATCAGTTTGATCTTTACCTTTCAATCTATGCACTTAAATGTGACATTAACATTGAATAACTTGGGCCAACACAGCCTAGACTGTGAGTTTAGATAGGTTTACCAAGGGGACTAAAGTCTCTTAAATTGATGTGGAGGATAGCTGCCTTACACATGGGATCCATAGCTTGATACACACATCTGTGCCATTCAATATGACAAACAACAACTGTGTACCAGTCGCATTACAGTGGCCTCCAATCACATTAGAGCATGAAGCGCTGGGGACAGATTGAGGGTGCTATTCTGGTAGAGGCAAAGAGAGGCCTCTAAGCTAGTTAGACCTGTACTGGAGCGCACTACAGTTACTACACTGCACCTCTTTCTATCGTGTATTGCCGCCTTTAGAAGACATAAGCTTGCAAGTGAAGATGTCATCCGCCAACTTTTCTCACCTTAATAAGGAGCTCTCATGTATTGTTTTTCCCTGCATGTGCACTAAATACAGCAGAGATGCATGTGATCTTGTTATGTCTCTAGACTTATTGCAGCAGGGTCCAGAGGGGGAAAAAGAGGTGTTAAAGACATCAGACTTCATCTGGTGCCCAAAACATTCTACCTACCATCTATTCTTATATCAACATAACATCTTCTCTTACAAGAGGGAATCGTATCGCCTTACAAGGCCAGTATAGCCCAATGCTTGATTGCAATGGGAAACTGAGGGAGAAGGGGACTGATGGATTGATGGATGGAAGGACAGAGTGATGGATGGAGGGATGGAGGACCTGAGACTGACCTCCATACTTAAGTCTGTGTTATACCGACCAAAATATTAGGTTTTCCTGGAGCCTACAGCTTAGATTGAGCTGGGCCAAGCCAGCACTTCTGTGATGTGCTAGTGTCTTCCTGTGCTTGTATGCTTATGTGTACAGAGTCATTCATCACATACCCCTTTTTCTCTGCCTTGTCTTTACTCTTGTCCTTCTCTCTGTCCCTCTCCTTCTCTTTCTCCTTCTCCCGGTTATGGCCCTTGCGCCGGCTCCGATCCCGCTCTCTGCTGCGGCTGTGGCTC